CCTTTGTATAGACTATAGGAAACTTAATGCCGTTACCATTAGAGATAATTACCCTTTACCAAGAGTGGATGAACTTTGGACTCTTTAAACGGATCATTGTGGTTTACCACCTTGGATCTTGCTAGCGGATATTGGCAAGTTGAAATGTTGGAGGAAGATAAACCAAAGACCGCTTTTATTTCTCCTCAAGGCATTTTTGAATTTAATGTAATGCCTTTCGGTCTCATGAATGCTCTAGCAACTTTCCAAAGGTTGATGGATCAGATTTTTGGAGATATAATTGGGAAGTTTGTTGTCATCTACCTTGATGATTTGAATATTTATTCAAAAACTTTTGAAGAACACTTAGACCATCTTCGGGAAGTGTTAGAAAGGTTAAAGAAGGCCAACTTGAAAATTAAGCCCCAAAAATGTGTCTTTACCAAAAAAGAACTTAAGTTCCTCGGATATGTTGTAAGCGCCCAGAGTGTATCTATGGACCCTGACAAAGTTCAAGTGGTCCAAAATTTTCCAACGCCAAGAAATTTAAGGCAATTACGGGGATTTTTAGGATTAGTATCCTATTACCGGAGGTTCATTCCAGGGTTCACTAATATTGCCAGACCACTAAATGCTTTGTTAAAAAAGAATGTGGCCTACCGTTGGACCGTTAAACAGCAAGAAGCATTTGATAAGCTTAAGAAAAAGCTTATGGTTGCTCCTGTTTTGGCCTACCCCGATTTCACAAAACCATTTATTCTTTTTACAGATACATCGGATTTGGCTCTAGGAGCTATACTCTCCCAATTGGACTCTAATCATAAGGAACAGGTGGTAGCCTATGCAAGTCGCTCTTTGACGCCTGCTGAAAAGAATTATGCAGTCACTGAAAAAGAGTGTCTTGCTGTGGTTTGGGCCATTTCGTATTTCAGGCCTTATCTTCATGGGTCTCACTTCACGCTTTATACCGATCATTCGGCGTTAAAATCGTTATTCTCTCATCAGTTACCCCAAAACAGACTGGCCAGGTGGATCCTGACCTTGCAGGAATATTCGTTTACCACCATCCACAAGTCAGGAA